AAATGATGTAAGTGTGTGTTTTTATAGGTTTGCCTGAATCCATCATTGCCGCTGCCTGTTCAAGAAGTGGCCAGAGGGTTCTGCATGTTGATTCGTAAGTTTATCAATGATAGTATTTAATACTTCCTAAATATCTCTATACAAAATTTAAAAATTAAATATACATGTGTGTACATATATACATATACATCATATATAAACTTTCCAAGTTAGAAATATGATTAGAATTAATTTCCACAAAAAGTATGTGAAATATATAATGAACAAGTTTTACTATTATACTCTGTGAAATAGTGATATTTCCTTTAAGAATAAACCAAATGTACCATGATTTTGTTTTTCACATGAGTGATTTTGGTTTTTAAGTGATGAATAATTCTCCAAGAGGCTTGGATACCTCACACGTACCCTTTTTCTTGTACATGTGTGTGGGCATATACGACCTGTAAATTTGATAGTTGAAAAACACAGCTAATAAATTTAGAGTATGTGGTTTTAATAAAAATTTAAAGTATTAGAAAATCTTAAGTAATAAAAATATCTACAGTTTTTTTTTCTTTTTCCCTTAAACGTCATTATAAAAAGGAAGTTAATGAAAAATTTAAGTTTAAGATAAAGCATAGTTTAAATCTCTTCTTTCCTGCTTCCTCCTAAAACAAATCCGTAACATTCCACCTGCCCATTTAGTGCTTTTGAACATTGTATCTTGACATTTTGATTGTTCATTAAATGGGAATAAAAAAGAAACAGAAGATAACTTTATGATTTCTGTTAATATTAACTATAATGTTTTTCATAATGCCAGAATACTAAGTATAGCTAGATTTGTTATAATTTATAGTGCTTTCTCATATATTACCCCATTGTAAATATGTAGGAATTTAAAAAAGGGTATTATTTCATTTACATTTAACCCTTTATAAATTTATTTTAAAAGCCTATTAACTCTTCAGTTATTGGATGAAATTTCTAAATGAAATTACGTTCAATTTTCAAACAAGTCCTGCCCTTGGAATTCTCTTTTCACTATTGTATGCGTAACTGCTTGTGTTAATGTTTCAATTTAGTCTTTTTTGAAATCTACCACCTTTAAAGCCCAGGTACTGAGCCAATGTGCTTTACAGGGCTTAATAAAAATCTAAATTCAGTTTTTTTCTGTTAATGTTAATTAACCTAAAATTTAAAATAAAAATCTTAAATTTTCCTAAACTGTCATTTACGGTGCTCATACTCTACACTACTCACCATATCAGAGTCTTTACATATGCTATGTAATTAATTCCCATCACAGCCAAGTGAGGTTGGTGGTGTTATCTCAATTTAACAAGTGGGGAAGTGTGAAGCATAGAGAGGTAAGAGGTTAAGTAATTTTTCTAACTATCTAGCTAGTGCTTATCTTACTTTACATTCAAATTTAATTAATTAATTATTTTCTAAAATAAATCTTTATTGTTCAGATTATTACAGTTGTTCTTCTTTTCCCCCCATAGCTTCCCTCCACCCAGTTCCCACCCCACCCCCTGCCCTTACCCCCCCACTGTCCTCATCCATAGTTGTACGATTTTTGTCCAGTCTCTTCC